AGAGAGTGCCTTGCTGCTTATATAGTACTTTTACAGCTGCACCCTTAATTACATTCCTTTAGCTTAAAGTCACATACACTTTATCTGACAAACCATGATTCATCATTTTATTATCTTTACCCAAAACAGTTAGGGTAAAACAATGTTATCCCTAACACACGCCATGCCACCTTTGGTGAGAGGCCAGGTTTCTAGACCCCCTGGAAGGCATGCAAGAGATTCCAGCTCTCGTGGAGTCTCTGGTGCCTCCAAAAAGTTTGTGAGAATGTGGCATCGCATCTTTCCTGCTTATTTTGGAGGCTGCAAGGACATGCAATAGCATGTAGATTTATATGCTGCTTCACAGTGCTTTACAGCCCCCTCTAAGCAATTTACAGAGTAAGCCTCTTGCCCCCAACAGTCTGAGTCCTAATTTTACCCACCTTGGAAGAACGGAAGGCTGAGTCAACCTTGAGCTGGTGATATTTGAACTGCCAAATTGCAGACAGCCGGCAGTCAGCAGAAGTAGCCTGCAGTACTGCACTCTAACCACTGCGCCACCAAAACTCAAGAGATTTTCTGAAGTTTCCAGGCCCCGGGAATTGCCTTGAATAGCCATTCCTGTTTTCCCTGGGACAAATATAAAAATGCAGGAAAAAGCAACAAAGGGCTGCAAACGCAGAAGAACTAAGACACCTGGCAACAACAGAAACAACAAAAGAGTTTTCCAGTATAGCTGTCCCTGTAGTTCCCTTCTCTACCTTTTGGATGAAAAAGTCAAATTGGTCCGGAACCTGTTCAATCTCCCACTTGATGCAGAGTTTGTCTCCCAGTTGATGTCAGGAAAGTTAAAGTCCCCCATCACTACTGTTTCTTACACACATTTATTTTTATTTTGCTTTTCCCATGAACATACAAAACAGTTAGTTAACTGAAGATTGTATATCTCGGTGAGCTAAAATAACCCTAAATTCAGTTGTGTATCAGTGCCCAGGTAGGCTCCAGAGATTAGTTCTCAGTTTGATAGTACTCAGCTGACAAAACCAGCAATGGATCTTTGCAAACTGGAAAGCAGAAGGAAGAATTATATAATATGTGTATGTATGTATATAAAAAAGAGGATGTGTAAATATGGGGAACAGTCAGAACTGGGATGTAAAACATTATATAAGGATTTTAAGGTGCATTTTTCAGCTTGCAAAAAAAACCAACAACAACCCGGGAATACGTTAATCACTTCAACTGTGATTTTATATATTCATGTTGCTTTATACAATACTTGTGGAATGTTCAATTTTATGAATGCAATCGGCTCTTTTTTTCATTACAATTTTTTTGTTTTCTTTTGAAATGATCAATAAACTTTGGTATGTTCTGATAAAAAAAAAAAAACATACAAAACCCAATGAGTACGAGTGGGCAGAGAGAGCAAAAAAGGGTAATTAGTGCAAAATGCAAGGTATCTGAAACAGATCCAAACAAGGCAGCTTGGGCTGGGCTTGCCCAAAAGCTCTTTTTGCTAGAATATAAATAAGAAATAGAACACGCTGCTCAGAAAATCTCACTGCAGAGCTCTGAAGAAATTGATGTTTTCTGTCGCTACTCTGAATCAACCTGGTTCCTTTCAGCTGAGTGGGGAAGCCTCCAGACATGCTGTGATTCATTTCTTTGGGGGGGTCGCAGTTGGGGGCACGGCTGGCCACATTTAGCCCTTTGTAAATTCCTCTCCCTCCCTCCCTCCCTGCAGTTTCAGCTTATGCATTAAAAAAGCCAAAACTATAAATGGTTTAGATAAAATAGCTCTGTCTATGGAGATTCTCAGTCATCCAGGTCATGGTTATCCCAAAGGTGCTTTTTCAGGTTAAATATATAAATCATGGCCCCTCCAAACTCAGCAACTTTAAGACTTGTGGACTTCAACGCCTCTGGGAGTTGGCGTCCACAAGTCTTAAAGTTGCCAAGTTTGGAGATCTCTGATATAAATCCTTCCATTCCCCACCATCCAGTCAGAACTGAAGAAGCTTCTTGGAGGAGAAGCGAAACGTCTTCAAAGAAAAAGCAAGAAAAGTCCAGTTGCCTCTTCAAAAAAAAAAAAAAAAAAAAACCACCACGCCTTTGGGGTATGGAGGTTCATCATACACCCCAATGTAAAATGCTCGTGTCGGTTACATTCACCCAAAGGCATGGCATGGCACGCGCGTGTATGTAGGAAGCCCGGAAACACCCTGGGCGTGCAAAGCACAGTGCAAACAAAATAAAAATAAAAATCAGACTCGGGGATTGCCAAGACCTCTCCATCCTCTATGCGTCCGGCGGCCCATCGTGGCAGGAACTCGAACGGTCAACCCTTCGGGGAAATGCTTGACTTCCCCGCCGAGAAGTCACCCGCTTTCGGGGAAGCGATCCATCAGCTTTCGGTTTCGCCTGCTGCTTTTCTATAAAACCAGCCGAGAGGAGCGCAGGAGAGGAGAGAGATCGCTTACCAGCTGCAAAGAGAGCCGGCAAGGCGACCCAACCGATTTTTCCTTTGCAAAGACGGTAAAGCGGTGGGGGGAGGGGGGAGATCCCGGGGAAGGGGGCGATGCCTTTCCCCAGCTTCCCCTCCGGGGTCCTGGCCTTCGCCGAAGCGGCAGGGGCTTTCTGGACTTGGAGGTCCTCCGGCGAACTGAGTTGGGTCTCCCTTGCTGACTGTAGCCGAGCAGTTGCGGGGGATCCGGGAAGCAGAGACGCTCCCCGAAAGCGGGGTGTGGGGGAGTGAAGGGCTGGCAGGAGGAGGGTCCATTGGGGGGGGGGGCAGAACGGTTTCTCCCCATGGGACAGGCGTGGATGGGAGGTTGGGGTGTGTGTGCTCCTGGGCAGAAATGCTTCTGGGGAACACTCTACCTGACTCTGTGGTTTCTTCCCCAAACCCCAAAAACTTTAACCTTAGACTGTCTACTATTGACCTCACCCCTTTCCTAAGAGGCCTACCGTCCCTGTCCTATTGTTTCTTTTATTTTTTCTTATCTTTCTTATATATGTATCCATGTATTCATAACTATGTTTTTACTTATACCTATTATCCTGTAAGCAATTGACAAATCAAATCAAATAAATAAATAAATAATAAAGGCGCAGGCCCATCACTGCCTTCAGAGGGGTCTGCCATCATCAGAGGCTGGGATGTCTCTGAAGACTCAACTGCCCCTAAGCTGAGTGGCTTTTGGAAGTCTGTGGGGGAAGATGGCTTGAGGAGGGATCTGGGATTACAAAGCCCATGTGCTCACTGGCCTGGGATGGGCGATGTCACTGTGAGGTCATGAACTTGGGGGAAGGGGCTTTTACAGTCCTCCTTTGGCAGGTCACTGTAAAGAAAGTTCCTCTCTGCAGCTACATCTTCTCCAAAGCCATGATGGAAGCTCCTGTGTGTCTGATTGAGAACCGGCCAAATGGCCTCCATGTTTCCCCGGAGGCCCTTCAGTTGCTCTCGGAAATCCAGAATCCGGTGGTGGTGGTGTCCATCGTGGGACTGTGCCGCACGGGCAAGTCCTACCTGATGAACAGGCTGGCTGGTAAAACTACTGGTGAGAACATCTGAGATGAACCAGGGCAATATCCACAAGGTGAAAACCTGGGTGGGAAAATGAACATCCTCACTTATGGGGTTTTCTGCTCTGATGGACAGGTATGGAGTCCAAGATGGTAACTTTCCCAAATGCTCACCATGAATGATCATTGTCTGGTAACAAGGAACCCTTTGGACCAATATTGACTTGCAGAATTTTATCATAGTTTTTATGATTATTATTGGCTTCATGAGACAAACCAGACAGGAACCCAAATCTGCTAATCTACTGTATTGTAAAGGTGCTGGACAGAATCTTGCCAGTATGAAAGTACAATTCTCCACTCATCTCCTTTACCACCAGAGAAACTAGGGAGGGTCTCTTCTGAACTGTGTCGAGAACCTGTGTTTTATTATTAACCATAGCTCACCTATTACAAGATGACTGTTTGGGATCTAAACCATATCACATTTTTCCATTTGTAGGTTTCTCTTTGGGCTCCACCGTGCAAGCAGAAACGAAAGGAATTTGGATGTGGTGCGTTCCCTATCCGGACAGGCCTAAACAAACCCTTGTCCTTCTGGATACTGAGGGGTTCGGTGACATAAGAAAGGTAAGTTTGTATTTGTGTATTTCTTTTTTACAAAAGAGTTCCATTACACGTACTCCCGGACTTACAACAGTCACATGATCAAAACTGGGAACCGGCATGTATTTAGAATGGTTGGAATGTCGCAGGATCGTGTGTGAATGCCATTTGTGATCTTCCCAGCTGTCTTCCAACAAGCGAAGTCAACGGAGGAAGCTTTGGATTATTTCAAGTGACATGTGTGATTCGTGTATATTCACTTAACTATAGCAAAAAAAAAAAAAAAAGGTTATAAAAGCAGGCAAGACTCGTTTAACAACCACTTTGCTTGACAATGGAAGTTCTGGTTCCAATCGTGATCATATGTTGAGGATTACCTGCACTAAAGATGACTTTCCAGAAAGAAGATTTCGATATTAATATCAAGGGTCAGGCCTAATGTACCTCTACCAAATCCAAAGATAAAATCTAAAGGCTTCTAGTTGTCCCTAAACTACAACTCTCAGCATCCTGTATGGATGAATGATTTCGTGAATGAATTCTGGACTGGTGAATGAATGCTATCTCTCCTAAGTTACCTTCTAACAGACATGTGGGTATTCCAACATTAAAGATTTTTAAGAAGACATTGGACTACCATGTGTTTGAAATGGTATAGGATTTCCTGCCTGAGCAAGGGGTTGGACTAGAACAGGGGTCGCCAACCTTTTGGATCTCGGGGACCATCAAATTCATAATTTTAAATCTCGCGGATCAGAGACCCTGGGAAAATCCCTCAAAAATCTGCAGGAAAATTCCCACCCCCGTTTTCCTACCAATCGATCATTCTTTATTTGGGATCACAGGATACCGTCTCCAGCTCCGTTCTCGGGGGTGGGGGGAGAGAGACTTTTGGCTTCATGCAAGGAAAGCAGCAGAAGCAGCAGAAGTCTTTCTTTTTCTCCCCCAAACTCCACTAGAAATGAGTCTTTGTTAGACTTGTCACACTGGCGTAGCCTCTTGAAACAGGAGGCCTTGCAGGGTCCCAAAGACTCATTTCTGGCAGAATTTGGGGAGAGAAAGAAAGACTTTTGCTGCTTTCCTTGCGTGCAGCCAAAAGCAGAAGAAGAAAGAAGCAGCCCAGTGGCCAGGCAAGGTGCGTGGGGCACGTTGCTCCCTCCGCCCTTTCCCGCTCCCCTCACTACGTGTTGTTCGCAATGCAAGCGACGCAAGCCTTGTGTTCCTTTGGGCCATGTGGGCAGCGCAACCTTGTGTTCCCACACAGCCTCGATTAATTGCTTTGGGAGGGGGTGCTTTGGGGGTTACATTTCTCTGCAGACCACCAAAACACGGCCCTCTGGTTGGCAACCACTGGACTAGATGACCTCCAAGGTCCCTTCCAACTCTGTTATTTTGTTATATACTCAGAAGAAGTCAGAAAGAGATCATACCATCTTCTTTTTTAGGGCAGTTCTCAGAATGATGCCTGGATCTTTGCTTTGGCCGTGTTGCTGAGCAGCACCCTGGTCTACAACAGTGTGGGGACCATTGATCAGACTGCCCTGGACAACCTTCAGTATCCTTCTCAAGGATAGCTCTGTGGTTCTGTGCCAGAGGGGGGGAACTATGGCCCCTTTATGACTTGTGGACTTCAACTCCCAAAATTCCCGAGCCAGCATGGGAGTTGAAGCCCACAAATCATAAAAGGGCCATAATTCCCCCACCCCTGTTTTATGCAGTTAGATTTGGAGTGAGGCAGCTTTCAGGAACATCCTTGCCAACATAATTTCCAAATCCACTGAGTTTTCCCAGCATGCTAAACTTGGTTATATTGAATGTTGACTGGCTTACATTTCAGGGTATTGTGCAGACATAGAAAATGGGTTTAGGCAACAAATCAGTGAAGCCTGCTATTAGAATCACATTGCTCTTCAACGGGGATAATTTCACTTTATTTTGAGAGCTATAATGTTGTTTCATTTATTTGACAATCGCCTTGTTAGCAGATCTTCTCTCTACCCTTCCAGGCCATCCTTTTTATTCACTGCTCTTTATGTACATGTATTGATTCCTAAACTGAACCAACAGTTTTGTGACAGAGCTGACTGAACATATCAAGGCAAAGGCTTCCTCCATTCCTGGAGATACGGTTGACTCCTCTGAATTTGTTGGCTTCTTTCCAGCCTTTGTCTGGTCAGTGCGAGATTTTACACTGCAGCTAAAACTGGACAACCAACCCATCACGGAGGATGAATATCTTGAAGAAGCTCTGAAATTAAAAACAGGTACTGATGACAGATGCAGTGTGAAGATCTATGCGGTTGTTTGGCTAAGGAATAGGAGCTGTTGGGCCTAAATTTTGCTTCTTCAGGGAGAAACAAAACGGTCCGCAGTTATTAATGAAAAGAATCACTAGAGCCAGTTTAGTTTTTCTCTTTGATCTCTCTTTGAAGAAACCAGAGTAGAAACCAGGAGACTGTGAGTAGTCCCGCCTTAGGCAGGAAAGTTGTTCAGGTGACTTTGGGCCGATCACCAGGAGACGGTGAGTTCTAGTCCCATC